TCTCCTTCCCTTTCCCCTTTAATTCTCTTCCGCACCCTGTGGGTGGGGTGAGGGAGGGTGAGAAAGCAGCTACATAGTGTTTGGTTACCCACTGGGTTAAACCACAACACACCAGAACATGAGAACTACTGGAACAGACAATGTAAAACACAAAAACAAAATTCACCAGTCTTCCTAAATAAAACTTACCTTGCTCCCTGGATGAAGTGCTATTAAGTGGACAGTTTGCAAATACCAGCTCAGCCACCCATGTGCGATTATTTCTACCTTGTAATCGGAAAGTGCAATCAAGAAGAGATCGGTCCAGAGCCTTCTGTGTTTCCTCGTTTACGCCTTTACAGGGGGGAATTCTATTAATGAAAAAAAAAAACGATTTCAGTTATATATAGTACAGTTTCAAAACTAAAAATACTACCTTCTAACATTTCCTGAAGGACTTCCAAGTCTCAACATGAAAGAATGAACAAATCAACAGCAAAGATAGCTGGACTGCACAGCGAGATATCCTACTCCTCTTCAAGGACTACAGTAAGTTTGTTACCAAAGCATTCTGAGTTAAGACCAATATTTTTATATGGATTCAACACCTGCAAATTACAAACTGTTAAGGGATCGGTTGAACTGCCCTGATCTGGTGAAAGAGCACACCAATATAAAGCTTTTATACAGAGAAACAAGCCAAAAAAGATGAAAATAATAAGTTCTGTGGCAACCTGAATTCATAACTCAGTTCGCCTTCTAAAACAAGCTCACTCTAAATGCAACAAACAACCTGGCAGTTACCTTAGTACCCGCTAATTCATTCATATCTCAGTGTGAGAATTGATTAAACAAAGCTTAAGTAAAAACATGACAAAGTTTTTCAAATCCCTTGAGAGTCTATCCAGAAATTTCATGTACCACCCTTAACTTCAGCTCACAAGTTCTCAGTACTTTTCTGCTCATATGCAAAGTTAAAAAGGTAGGTCCTGATGTATGTAGAGACTGATGCCTTTATATCCCTGTACATTTCTGCAGCATAAAAGAAGTTAAGAAGGTTTTACTCTAGGAAGTGTCTCTGAGGTAGGGGTTTTTGATGTTTTAAACTGATATGATCTAGTTTACTTCATAATACAATACAAAGTTTAACTGGTGAAAAACTGGATGGACTGCCAGGTAGAAAGCGCTCTGCTCAACAGTTGCAGGTCCAATTAGCAGCTGGTTGTGGCTGGCATTCCTCAAGGTTAACACAGAAGTCAATACTATTTAACAGTATCAATAACCTATGTGATGCAAAGGAATAGCAAGTTTGCAGATGACACCAAATTGAAGGGAGCACTTAACATGCTACAGGACAGGGCTGCCATTCAGAGATACCTCAGTTGGCCCGAGGAATGAGTTAACAGGAACCTCATGAAGTTCAAGGAAAACAAATGCAAAGTCCTGCACTTGGGCCTGGATAACCTCAAGCAACAGCACAGAGTGGGGAGTGACTGGCTGCGTAGCAGCTCTGCAGAAAAAACTTGGGAGAAACTGAACAGGAGTCAGCAGCATGTCCTTGCAGCAATGACAGACTGCTGCATCCTGGGCTGTATTAGCCAGGCAATCGAGTGACGACTATCCTCTAGTCGGCACCTGAGATCGCTGTGCCCAGGGAGAACACAAAAATCCTTGGAGATTGGAAAATGCAACTCCGTAGTCCCGCTTTGAGCACAAGGATGGACCAGACAACCTCCATAGGTCCCTTCTACTCTTAAATTACTGTATGCTTCTCAGATAGTTTTCTACCATGCAATTGTCTTTTCTGGGATTCCTTGCATTCTGCTCTGCAGTATCACATAATGGTAATCATCAAATAACATATGGAGTATGTAGGCCTCTGATCTAAAATTGTAATTACATGTCCATGAATCATCACCATATCTTCCTTGGCATTGCCTGGATTTAAGGATTGTGGACTGTCAGACTGTTTTCAGAGCTTCCCAGTTTAGGCTAATGAAGGAAACAAATCATAGTTGGCTCTGTATCTACTCTTATTTTCCTCTTTCTCCAGCATTGCTTCACATGAAAGCACAAGACACACGATAATTAAAAAAGAAACAAACAAACAAACAAAAAAAAACAAAACAAAAGATCTCTCCCCACTCCAATATTTTTAGTGTTACTCTCCAAACAATCTTTTTTTTTCTCTCAAGTGTATGCACAGTAATAAAACGAAACACATGAGTGTATCCTCTTACTTTAATAAACGTATTGCATGGCTGAAGCCATCTCCTTCTACTTGTACTCCTTGGTGAGGAATGTCCATATTAGATAACTAGGAATGAACAAGAAAATTGTTATCTCAAGCAAAAAGTCTAGCAAAATAACTATAAGTTTTTCAAGGATTTTTTTTTCCCCTAAGGGTGACAGATGTTTCACATCCTCAAGCACTGGAAAGCCAAAAAACAGTCTGTGCAAATCTGGTATGAAGTTGTGTTCCACTCCCTCCCACAAGTGTCTCTCTCATCCTCTCATTTACCCTTTTCCCTCAACTTCTCAAGCTTTGCAGTGCCTGGTATTAGAGAACCAGCTCTAACAAGACTAGACTGACAGGGGAACTCCAAAGTGAACACATGACCACAAGTTTGTAGAATAGTTGCCTCTAGACAAGAGAATCAGGAATAGTAGAGGGGAAGAAGGAAACAAAATATTTTTAGTACATACCTCCATACGAAGCCCTATAAATGGCATATTTGTATCACACATGGCTACAATATGAGCTAGCACTTTATTGAAGGCACACATTTCTCCCGACCGTTTTGGTTTCTTAGGTTCTATGGAACATGGATCACCAGATAACTAGAATTAAAATAAAGACAAATGTACTTGCACATTTGGAGCAAACGTTTTGAAAATATGTCCGAGAATAATCTAATTCATCCACGTTTTAAATGAATCACACCCTGAGCACAAACTCCCGAAAGGTTCTGGTCCACTCCAGGACTGAAGCAATTCAGTTAAAGTAATTTTATAATCACCTCCTTCCTTAAACACTACTTACATATCACTAAGCCACGTCAGTCTTACCCCAAGAAATAACTCTTATCAGGACCTGCAAGTCTTTCAAAGACTACATCTGGATGGCACAAAGCATAGTGTGCAGATACCAGTGCTCTGTGTATGCAAGCTACGCTAGCTACCTCAGCACAGTGCTCTGCCTTGGCTCTTCAGAACAGCTGAGAAGGCCCGGGATGAATTAAAAGACAACTGTTGCAAAATACTTCCTCAACACCTCCCTAGGGAAGTAGCCCAGAGAACCAAGCCACAATACAAGTAAGACATCAGCGATGTTCTGTTCTAATCTAAGCTAATCTAATTTTTGAAACAACCCTACTGGTATTGATGCTCAGAATATGTGTTTAGCTTTCACGCTTTGTAACTAGCCCCATGGCTTTTGAAGAACATACCTTGCGCTTGACACCACTTTTCATTTGTTTCCCGCTTTTTGTGTCTAGTACCAACTCTTCAATGTTTGGTTTGAACTGCTGTAGTAAAAGTGCAGTAGCAGGGCTGTCATCTCCTTCAGCATAGCTCACAGATAGAAAATGGTACTTGTACTCTAGTTCTGTGGGGTTGCCAGGAACATCAAACATCTCTACAACCTGTATTTAAACAAAACAACAAATTGAGAAGACCCTCAAGTTAAGAACATGTCTACATCAGCTCCTGTCCTCTCCCCCTCAAGGAAAAGACATTAGTCTTTTTCAAGACATCAACACTGCGGCTAGAAAAGGGATCCAAGAAAAGGGAGACTAAACTTTCAGGAAATATAAAGAGAATGGGAAAGTTGCTCAGTAATAAAGCTTTATGTTCTTTCCTCTCTATAAGCCTGACTGGTGAACAAACCCACTGAATGAGAGAAGAGAGACAGGAGAGCCAAGGGCTACATCAGTCACTTAGTTCCTAATGTTAGAGTTAACAGTATAACAAACAAACTGTCTGCTATATCCATGACTGGGAACAAAAGATAGAAGCGTTTTTCAGTTACTTACAATGTAGTACTGTGGAAGGCGAGTGAGTTTGATAAACAATTTGTGTTTGGAAAGGCTTCCCACTGGATGGCTAGCATAATTAGCTAGTTGAAGAGTTTCACTGCTCACTGTAGGCAGATGTTTTATAGACTGTTTGCAACGCTGCTGTCCAAGCCAGAACCTTGCAGTGAAATAAAGGTATTAGTACCCTGAGACTGTTTTACATTATTCTAGTATACTGCTGTTTAGAGCACTAGCGTCAAATTAAGAGTCAGTCATATTCTAAGACAATGTCTATCATTGCTGCACAAGTTATATACAGAAAATCAAACAGAAAAAACTGTGAGTATCTATTTTCTTATTGGTATCTTCACATACTGTCTTCAGCTTGACTAATGGACAGTTGTTAAGGTAAGAAGAAAAGCCCTGAAATTATTCGCTGAAGGAATAAATGAATGAATTTTTATACACCACAATATAAAAAAAGAAGGGACAAATGAAAAAAAACATGCAGATTACAGTTACTTTACAACTAGGAATCTTCAATTATTTTTTGGTATATAAAAGAAAATCTTTGCTTCCATATGCTGGTAAACAATACAGTTAACAAGTCATCAAAGCTGGATGCCACTATGGATTATGTTATAAACAAACTCATTCACCTGGATAAGTTTGGACATGAAGAATTGCATGCAAGGCATCAACTTTATTCTAATGTTTGGAATTAAACTTCACCCTATTCCAACAGATTTTGGCTATAGTGGCAAGGCCAGAAAGCTTAGCTAGGATTGAAAGGGGCACAGAAATGTGTGACTTGTTTTTTCAGTCAAAACTTCCAGGGAAAACAGCAGCGGAGAGCATGGATACTCAGCAACTCTCCATCACGACACACCATGTTTATTCTCGTAGCTACATGTTGGATGTAGTTCTCCTAAAAGACATTTTGTGGGACTGCCTAGCTTCCTCAAAAACTGCAGCACTACCCAAGCCATTATCTCCAGTACATTATTTATAACAAAGGGAGGTTGATTAGTTTCTCCAGGGTGCCAGTGCTTCATGTGTTATCATGCTTCTTTTAGAAGCAAAATTTCTCAAATAGAGTTTTCACCCTGCAATTAGCTAAGAGTACTGGGAATTTCCAAAATGACAGAGCAGGTGGATCTTAGTTGTTATGCAGATGCAAACTGTATTTGTATTATTTGCTACAACCTCTTATGGGAGCCAAATGTATCTTGTGCTTAAATCTCAGGGCTTTATGGAAGGAAGATTAGAGGTTTAAACCAGCAAGGGCTGAAATGTTAGAAGATAAACAGGTATTATTTAAATCATTCTAGGCCACTTTCGGGTTTTTTCCTCAGCTTTGAGAGAAGGGAGATCGTTCTTGCTGAGAAACAAGCAGAGTTCAGCTGTGGAAACAGAGTGGAATAAAGGAGATAAAAAATGAACACGAACACAAAATGAGATCCTCAGGAATCAAGCGGTCTGCTAGTGAATTCAAGTGAAAAGACTTCATGCAGAGTGTGCGCATAGTGATGCATGAGGCTACGTGTAAGGGGGCAGACTAAAGGAGGACTATGGAATCAACTCAAAGCAGAATTTCCTCCACCTGTTTAGAAGAGATGGCAAAGGTTGCTTAGAACAGTGAGAAAGTACATCCCCTACTGTGGTAAAACACAAAGCCATGCAAGTGTGATCATCCAAAATACAAACATGGTGATTCATTCATTCTATGCAAACTGAGTTAATCATTCAAGTCACTTACTTGAGCTGCTGGAGCCAAGGAACGATACGCTTCATATCATCATTAACAGACTTTTCTATGTCATCAAGTGTCAGTTGATCTGCAATAACATTTGGTGAGTGAATGGTTTTAACACCTGCTCTTCAAACAAAATTTTGATCTTTTAATGAAAGTGGCTTATCTAATTTAACAAACAATTAATCACAGAATCATAGAACAGCCCAGGTTGGAAGGGACCTCAAAAGATCATCTGGTCAAACCTTTTGTGGGAAAAGGAGCCTAGATGAGATTGTCTAACACCCTGTCCAATTACATCTTGAAAACTTCCAGCGAGGGGGACTCCACCACATCCCCAGGTGGGTTGTTCTAGTGATTGACTGTTTTCACTGTAAAAAATTTCTTTCTTATATTGAGATGAAACCTCTGCTGGTGCAACTTGTAACTGTTGTCCCCTGTCTTCTCCATGTGGCTCATTGTGAAGAGAGAGATTAAGATACACAATAGATCCATAATGCTTGTAAAACCACAGCAATATGTTATTAGGCAAATAAACGAAAAGAACCCACTTTCCTTCTTTTCTTAAGTAATCTGAAGTCTGAAGTTAAGACTTGAACAGTAACTCAAGATGTATAAGTTCACATAACACAATTCTCAATCAGGTCCATATGAGATGACCTCATCCATTAGCAGCACAACCCAGGAATCATGAGTCACAAAGAATATGCATTGCAATGATGCCTAACGTTTAGTTGTTCTCTTAAAATATACGTAACTGAACTGTGACTCTTAAGCACAAAGATTCACTTCTCCATTCCTCAAACTCAAAAACCTAGATGATAACCCAAGTGTGGTGTTGATCTGCATTATCCTTATTTACTTACAGAACTTCGCAGATTTGACAGAATTGTTCACATGAAATTACCTCATAATGCAGGATTCTTGCAAGATATTAAACACAACCTGGTTTTGCACCTACTTACCAACACCATATAGCATCAGTTGAAACATTCCAGAGTGGAGATCAACAAACACATGCAGGCACTCTGATCGACCACATGGTTCCAAAATTGGAATTACAAGAGTTGGAAGAGCCGTCTCAATGAATGCTAAACAAAAATGGATGTTAATAATTTGACACAAAATTCAAGCTCATCATGTTGAAACTTAGCCCATTATAATCACAAAATCTGTTTGTTTTTACAGAAGCAGTCTTCCCTTACACATCATTACACTGTTAACATAAAGGTATGTTATGTTATATAAGAACTTCCCTGTGAAAAGAGTGCTAGTAACAAACCAGTGAGAAAAGACAGACCAAATCTGAAGATTATTAATCCTTGAATATCTTTTAACTCACTGCTTCACAATTATAAACTCAATTCAAATTCCAATAGTTTCAACAACAGCTTAAGCAAAGTCCCATCCAAAGCTAGCTCAAGACAGTGAAGGATTTGCTTTGAATTCTGAACTTGTACAAGTTTTACAGTAGAACACTTTTAACCCTTCAACCCAGACTATAATGGTCTACCAGCTTTATCTATTATAATGCATTTAGAGTGTGGTTTAAGCCAGCTGGCCTGTATGAGTATTTTACGACCATTTTTACAACTATTAATGCAGAATAATTTAAAGCTAAGTCTTGTTCATTCTGAACACATCTCCCTTTATTTTTTCATATTTTTATTTAAATTAATGAAAATAAGAAATACCAAGTAAAAAGGAACCCATTCCTAGGCATAAACAAAAATTAACTTGAAAGAAACTTCAGTAGAAAACACATACAATTGTCATTAACATTGTAATTCTTAAGAATGGCTTTCAGCTCCTGGAGTTTTTGATGAGATCTTGCATGGACGCTGTCTATTAGGAGTTTTTCTATTGATAGGTGGTCAATCTGTAAAAAAGGAATGTACTTGAGTAAATTCAAATTTTATGTGTAGAGTCTATGCATTAGCACACTGGAACAAAGCTACTTAAAACCATCACATCAAAAGAATTTGCTTAGAACTGTGGTGAATCGAATGAACTATTGAGTATTTGGATCACTATGAAATACAACAAACTAACCTAAGATTCTGACTGTGCAGCAGGCAGTGGGAGGGTTTTTGAGAGAAGACTAGAAGAAAATGTAAAAGAAAAGAAGTTTCACAAACTATGCTATTACAACGCCCTGTGAAGACCTACAAACCACAAAATCCTCCAAAGCAACACTCTATTAGAATATGGTTGCCTCTACACAAACACATACATAGCTGTAGCAAGAAATACTACACACTAGTTTTAGTCCTGCTAATGGGGTAACAAAGCAGTTAGTGTAGATGCAGTGGTTGACAGGGAATATGAGGAACCTCACTGAACCCAGGAGTATCTAGAGGCTTGTTGCACTGCCAGTGCTGAAGCTTATGTCACCATTTATATTAACTAATGCTTACTTGTGTAACCTAAACTAAAGGATTTGCATTTATAGCCATTCATAGAATCATAGAATGGTTAGGGTTGGGAGGGACCTCAAAGATCATCTAGTTTCAATCTCCCTGCCATGGGCAGGGACACCCTCCGCTACACCAGGTTGCTTCAAGCCTCATCCAACATGGCCTTGAACACTTCCAGAGATGCACAACTTCTCTGGGCAACCTGTTCCAGTGCTTCACCACTCTCATTGTAAAAAATTTCTTCCTTATATCTAATCTAAATCTGCCCTCTTTCAGTTTAAAGCCATTGCCCCTTGTCTTATCACTATATACCCTTGTTAAGACCCCCTCTCCAGCTTTCCTGGCTGCAAGTGTACATTGCCAGCTCATGTTGAGCTTCTCATCCACCAGCACTCCCAAGTCCTTTTCCTCAGGGCTGCTCTCAATCCATTCTCCGCCCAGCCTGTACTTGTGCTTGGGATTGCCCCGACCCACGTGCAGGATCTTGCACTTGGCCTTGTTGAACTTCATGAGGTTCTCACAGGCCCACCTCTCCAGCCTGTCAAGGTCCCTCCAGATGGCATCTCTTCCTTCCAGCGTGTCCACAACACCACACAGCTTGGCACCATCTGCAAACTTGCTGAGGGTGCACTCAATCCCACTGTCCATGTCACCGGCAAAGATGTTAAATAGCACTGGCCCCAGTACTGACCCCTGAGGAACACCACTCGTCACCAGCCTCCACTTGGACATCAAGCCGTTGACCACAACTCTTTGAGTGCGACCATCCAGCCAATTCCTTATCCACTGAGTGGTCCATCCATCAAAACCATGTCTTTCCAGTTTAGAGACAAGGATGTCGTGTGGGACAGTATCAAATGCTTTGGATAAGTCCAGGTAGACGATGACGGTTGCTTTTCCCCTATCCATCAATGCTGTAACCTCATCATAGAAGGTCACCGAATTAGTCAGGCAGGATTTGCTCTTAGTGAAGCCATGTTAGCTGTCACCAATCACCTCCTTATTTTCCGTGTGCCTTAGCATAGTCGCCAGGAGGATCTGCTCCATGATCTTGCCGGGCACAGAGGTGAGACTGACTGGCCTGTAGTTCCCTGGGTCTTCTTTTTTCCCCTTTTTAAAGATGGGGGCTATGTTTCCCCTCTTCCAGTCATTGGGAACTTCACCAGATTGCCACGACTTCTGAAATATGATGGATAGTGGCTTAGCAACTTCATCCACCAGTTCCCTCAGGACCCGCGGATGCACCTCATCAGGTCCCATGGACTTGTGCACCTTCATATCGCAGTCATATTATTTACATATTTTGCATAAGCAAAGCTACAGATTACTGCAAAACCTTTTTCTAGTTAACCTCACGTTGCTTTGGAAACTGTTCAAGGTGAATTAAACCCAAATTCTGTTCTAGCATGAGAGAGAAATAGAGAAGACATTTACACCAGAACAAAATTATATAGAATTTCAGTACATGCCTTCATATATACCAGAATGACTGTCTGTCCTGGTTTTGGCTGGGATAGGGTTAGTCTTCTTAGTAGCTAGAATAGTGCTGTGCTTTGGATTTAGTATGAGGAGAATGTTGATAACACACTGATGCTTTTAGTTGCTGCTAAGAAATCAAGGACTTTTTTACTTCCCATGCTTTGCTAGCGTGCAGGTGCACAAGGAGCTGGGAGGGAACATAGCCACAGCAACTGATCCAAATTGGCCAATGGGATATTCCATATCACGGAACGTTCTAGTCAATATATAAATGAGGGTTGGCCAAGAAGTGCTCTCTCTGTCTTCTGGGATTATAGTTTTGGGAAGTGCTCTCTTCCAGGATCGCTAGCCAGCGACGGGCTGGGCATTGGTCAGCAAATGGTAAGCAACTGCCCTGTGCATCATTTGTTTGTATATTCTATTATTATTAATTTTATTTCAATTACTAAACTATTCTTATCTCAATCCATGAGTCTCCTCACCTTTACCTCTCCGATTCTCTGCCCTGTTCCCTTGGCGGGGGGGAGGGTGAGCAAGCAGCTTCATGTTTAGTTGATGGCCAGGTTAAAACCACGACACCTTCCTCTAAAGACTAGCGTTCCAAAACAAGGCCTTAAAAATCAAATGTTTATCCATTCACAAAAGCATTTCAACTGAGCGCTGCTATGAGTGAAACCTTCCTCACAAACAAGTGACTACAGGTTCTATAGCTACATCCAATTTTCAGTAGGTTAATGTATAATAACCTGCTTAGACAAACATATTTGTCCATGCCACTGTTTTATATAATATCTTAAATAAACAGAAACATAGTGTACTATCTACGTCATTCAGCTGAGATCATTTTTCAAACACTGGAAGAGCAGTGCATATACCATAGCAGACAAATATTCTAAGTTCTGAGCAAGTAGTTATAAAGAGAGTCAGCATTAACTTCGATAAATCTCAAATTTACAGTGGCCTCATATCTTAATCTACAGTCTGTAGACCTGATTCAGTGAGCTTAGATTGCATCAGCTCTCATGGAACTTCAACAGATGTTCTAGACAAAGCACCTTTTCCTGGATTTAGGCATAAATACAGTTTCTTCACTACATTAACTGTATATTTAGTAGCCTAAATATGTTAATTTAGGCTATTGAATGGGTCAATTTAGCATGTATTTACTATACTAATAGTAGAATTTCTACTCCAGAAATAGAGTAGAAGGCTACTGCGCTCCACTAAGTTTCCCACATTCCTCTCTTGCCCAAACATATGAAGTCACAGAATCACAGAATGTTAGGGATTGAAATGGACCTCAAAGGATCATCTAGTCCAATCCCCCTGCTGGAGCAGGACCACCTAGATCAGATCACACAAGAACACGTCCAGGCGGGTTTTGAACATCTCCAGAGAAGGAGACTCCACAACCTCTCTGGGCAGCCTGTTCCAGTGTTCTGTTACCCTTACTGGGAAGAAGTTCTTCCTCATGTTTAAGCGGAACCTCCTGTGTTCCAGCTTATATCCACTGACATTCACCATATAGCGATGTATCTGTCAAACCTGTTAAACAAGATGAGCCAAGAGGCTCAAACACAAATTACGTACAGTAGGTGAAGGCTATCATCAGTAGAAGGTTCTGTAAGACAGGTGAAGAATCCAAGCTGGAGAGTTTTTCCCTGTGGAAAACCTATACTGAAAGTTTGAAAACTACGCTATTTAGTGCAGTTTATTAACTCTCTTAAAAAAAACAAACACTGTAAGAAATAATGACAAACACACATCATAGTGAGACTTGCTGAGGAACTTACAGAAGACTTACTATAAAATCTAGAATGCAGTTTCTCATAGATTATTAACCAAGATCTACAATTATCACCAGTGAAGCCTCATCCAAGTAGGAAGTTGACTGCAGTTACTTGTTTTGGATCATTTCAACAATCCCACCTTTAACATATGGGAATTTGAAAAATACAAAGCAACATTCAAATAGGCCACATGACAATCTGGTTAGCAATACTGTAAAACCAAGGTTCACCTAACACTTGTAACAGGCAAACTACATTAGCTATTTTGCATAAGATTTCCAAATCATAATGTAAGATTTTTCTAAAGTGAATAGCACTACTGAGTAGTAAACTCAAGTGACGTGGGGAAGCTGATTTTCAGAGGAAGTTTACACAGCATCTCCGAGAGAGGGAAGGGAAGAACTGGCTCTCTATAAAGCATTGCAAGCCAAACACTAAACATAATTGAACCTTTGCTATTGTTTCCCCCTAGCCTCAGTGTTCTGTCTCATAAGTGGTGTACATAATGCACTTTAGGGTGGGTGCAATTTTTAAGATGAAGCCAAGGCCAACAATTTGTAACAACAATTTTAGGTCCCAACATAAACACGCCACAATCTAGAGTAACTGTTGACTAGAAATCTTATAGTCTATTTATTTAAAGAGTTGTTTCTAAGTGAAATAAACTGACAATGCAAAGCATTTTTAAGTTTTTGATTTACAAAACTAGATGCCTACTGCAAAGCAAACCTTTACCTTCATGGCTCTTTCCATCAGTTTGGAATCACAGGCTGGCAGTGGAGGCTCATGAGATATTTGTAATGGTTTTGAGACATCAGCCTCATCAATCTTAATAGTGACCTTATGAACAGATGCGGTTCCCGTTTTCCTGCCAAGCACCTGTTGACTTAAAATAAAGAGAATAATTAAACCATGTAACTAGAATGGCGGAAAACATGCTTTTCAGTAGCTAATCCTTGATTCTGAGAGTTCTGCTTAAAAATAAGACTATGTCAGCTGAACTGAAAAAAAGCATTTGTTTCAGTTTACATTTTAATGCAGAACTGTTGGTAAACCATAACTACATAAAGAAGTTTTAGATAGCTGCAAATTGAACACAGAATTGGAAGTCCATTTGGATTTCTTTTTAAAATTTTATCTAGTGCAAGTCAAGCAATAAATACAGTTAAAGACTGAAAAAAAATTGTCTAATTCATTTATTGAGTTAGATATCCACATAAATATGAGCAATTTATGACTGAATCCATTGTTCTGTACATTAACGTACATCCTTCACTTCTCTGCAAGTCAAGCAACATGTTTAGGTACTTAATTACAAGAATTTAGGAGCGTCACATCAAAAAGACAGTACAATTCTGAAAATTCTGGCTCAAGCTTAATAAACGAAACCCCTCCTATTATTTCATTTATTGTTTGCTAACAGCCCTTTTAAAATTAACTTACTTCCAAACAGAGAGTGAGAGACATTTCCCTGCATGATATCGCTCCACTTGCACAAGGTCACCCCAGCGCTCTCGAATCAGCATTAGTGTTTGTGAATGCAAGACTTCCAACTGAAGTGCTAAGCAGAAGGAGTCTAATGAACGGAGTTAAGAAAATATAAGACCTCCAAAGAGCCTGTACACTATATAAATCCATTTCTGTACACTACATAAATCCATTTGTCACAAAAGTCAGACAAGATGCTGTCTGAAAACACACTAATGTACTAATACAGAGATAAAGACATTTAAACAGCATCAAATATTTTTCAAAGTTTTTTTTTTTCTTTTTTTTTTAAACTCTTATCTAGGGCAGAGTGTTAGGCCAGCATCACAATAGCTTTGTTTTACAGATTTTTAACTCTGATCATCTTTTAGGGAGAAGAAGATTACTAACAAAGAAATTCAATTCACCCTACAGTTACCACTAACCCCATCTTCCATGGTCACCCTAAAATAACATAATTCTATTTGTTTCTGCAGGAATTGTTTCACTGAAAACCATTTCACATTGTCAAGCAATTTGCCCTTTGCACATAGAAAGTTACTGCACTACTTCCTGCACACACTATATCCCAATTTACTATTCACACAGGTGCAATACAGTTAACACACCATCATCACCTTCCTGCAGTTCTGGGTGGTAAGAATTGCCAGCTCCCATACCTTTCAAGTCAGCACTGTGTTCTATCTCTGAAATTGAAAAATGCAGCCAGCTGCTGCTGCACTGACTTACCACACAACCTGCTGTCTTGAGTAACTCACCTTTACCTTTGCCAAGTATGTAAAATCAAATTTTACATGGTGGCATTTGACAATCACAGTTTCCAAGGCCATAATTTTTACTCTGTGTCCAGATGTTTCTCCCTAGCTTAACAGGGAATCCATCTTTCTTTCCCTCCAGCTACTAGAAGAACAAGGCCATGTTACACAACTCATTCAGAAGCAACTTTCAGAAGGATACGCAGACAGCTGTACATGTCCTGAAGTGGCTTTTCATCAGCAAACAGCCGTGACTGGACCAACTGATGGATGAAGTTGATCTGCATGCTGTGAACCAAGGCTCGACCATCTTTTGTGAATTCAAAATAATTCACATTAGACATCAGGAAAATAGGTACTTAAAATACTTAAATAAAACAATAAATTAAAAGGGGAAAAAGATACAACTGTACCGACTGATTTCCATACCAGAATTTCTAACAAAATCCTTGGTTTACCATGGAAATTTTGGTCTACTACACTGTCATAGTCTACTGTTGTTAAGGTATCAAAAGCATACAGAGCAAGATGAAAACAGGACAAGTATATACAGCTTCATTATCTTAAATTGTGATATGCAAAAGACCCTGTATAAACCAGACCTATACAGCATCAGAGATGAACATCATGTTAAAAAGAAAGTGTAAATGTTTGATTTTTTTTACCACCAGTTTCCTTGTCTTCAACTAAAATTTCCAGTTTGAGAAGGCGCCAGGGGATGTCAGGGTCATCACCCATCACTGTCAAGGTGGCCTCAAACTCACCCTCAACTCGGAACTTCACACGGCCATTGGCTAAGGAAGAAAAAAAATGTTTTTTTTTCACTCAGTCTCCTAAGATGCCTCAAAATATGAGTGTGGTAGCCCCTGGCACTCACAATGGATTACTTTCCTATAGTTTCTGCTCTGCTGCATATGTTTCTGTGCAACTCTGAAGACCTCACAGTTGCTTCTGCAGCAGAACCAGTGTCAACAAGCAGCATGGACAGACATCTCAAACTGTCCTGAACAGCAGTACTTTAGTTAAAAATAACTGGTTAGCACTTGTGCTACTATAATACGAAGCAACACTGAGCTGCCTAACAGCCTGACAAGTTACAAAAAGAAGAGGTCTAGCTTAATTTTTCCAATCCTTTGCTATATCCATAATGAACACTTTAAACAATGTTCAAAAGAAGTTCAGAGTGCAATCTCAGCCCAGGCTGAAATCTAGTCCTGAAAACATATCTCGCTGCAAACCATTTATTTAACATCAAAATATTTTAACTCTATTTCCACGTGAGGAAGATAACCTTTTGCATAATTTGTATGTATGCACACAAGCAAAGATTATGTACACTATTTATCTAATTGACATAATTATCCTCACACCTTTGTGAACATTGCTATCAGTTTCAAGAACCGGGAACAAAGACTGTCAAAATTATATGAGCAAGGTCATAAAGAGAACGAGTGGCAGAGCAACAATTTAGTACAAGTCCTAACTATAAACTGTGGGTCAACTTTCCTCTCAATCCCTTAAAATACACCACATACCTTTACAATTATAGACATACAGAAATATTCCTACAGAAATTTTAACCCTTTTAACTCACAAAGTTTCATTTTCAAAAGCATCCCACACGTGCTCTTAAAACAAACCAGACTCCAAACAGAAACTAATAGTCATTCAAATGTTTAGTGAACTGAAAAATCTGAAGAGCTGAGACATATATCCATTTATACTTCCGTTAGACAAAAATGGCTCTAACACAGATATTGCAATCATTCACACAGGGACCAGTGAAAACTAAGATTTTTCAGAAACATCTTCAATCTAGGTCTGTGGGGTATGGTTTACACATGGCTAATCTTGTCTTAAAAACATGGACTAGGTCCATTCCAGTCCTGTTCTCTGTGATTCTGCAATGACCTAGTCCAGTTTATAGCCATCTATCCTGCAAAAAAGGCTGTCTTAATGTCTACCACTACTTGGGCTAAATGAAAACAGAGATCTGAGAACAGATTAAGAGATCTGGCACTGCAGCAAGCCACAGAACAAAAGGCATGCATAAACATGAACAGATTCTGTGCATGAAGATGAATATCAAAACAGGTTTTAAAAAGCAACATTAGAGTGACTTGTTTAAGCTAAAGTTCAAATAATTTCTCCGGAAAGATCTAACAGTTTAGTTAAACTGCATTTTATAATTAAATTAAGGTTAAGCAGTTACATTGTTAGGCCTAAGACTCTTTCATAACCTGTTTGCTGAAAGAGCAAGACAATGTCTGCAACCTTTTGCCATTACTTGCACAGGATTTCTTCTTGAAAGTAAGTAATATTTCAGCAATATTATCAGTGCCCTCATTTTTCAGAAGGAGAAAAGACATTTTGATGTCATACAGAGACAGGATCCCAGTCTTAATAGATTAGGCATGCCTAATAGTCTCACTTGAACTATTTTTTAGCTTTGCTTTAGCACTAAAGCAAAAATTTTAAAGCAGTCTGCAGTAATGTATTCTTCAAAAAGTAATTCCAGTTCTTACCAACTGTAAGATTTGCCAGTTGTGGCGGGAGATCTGTAGTCACTAGTCGATGTCGAAGAATCTGGTTTAGCTGATGAAGTGTGGTTTGCTTCTCACTCTTTGTTATTGGGTCAGGTGGGATTATTTTGTCCTGTTAAAATAAACATGAACAAGCCTTCGTATCCCAAACATGCATAATACATTGACAGTAGGAACAGTGAAAACTAACTAGACTAGAAGTCTGAAAATATAAACACTACAGGCCATTACATGAGTGAAGTTCTATATCTTACATTCAGATTTGTTTTCTAGTTGATTACATTTTACCTGAGACTGACCACTGAATAAAATTGCTCAACTTGGATCAATTAAATAAATTTAGGGCCTTACATCAGGCTAAACTTGTTTTTAAATACTAAGATTTGAAAGCCAATCCTTATCTGTAGCCATAGACATAAGTCACAGGTACTACTGTTTATATTACTTCACAAAATCCTGTTATTCTGCGTTTTATCAGTAAGAAAAGGCAGCAACATTAGAGCTTTAAGTATTTCAGTACATTTCCAAATATAGGCAAAATCTCTAAGGACAAAAGACGTCAGTTAGTATCTCCTTTTCACACTTCCACTTTTCTAGGATGGTGGCTTAGCACGTGCAAATACTTAAAGAACCAAGGAAGAAGAGCTGCTACTATACTCACCCTAGAGCAGAACTAGTTTAAATGAAGAGAATGTTTTACTGGGAAAAGCATAGCTTGTTCAAATAGGAAGTGCTCTGCAGGAGAAACTGACACTACAGAGACTTGGCACTAGGCCTGTATTAAACTACAGCTTCATTTGCACGCAGACAATTAGTTTCATTAACATGCATTTGATACTGTACCGGGGATTTCCCCCCCCCCCCCCCCCGCCAGACATACAGTAGCATTATTTACCCTGATGCAGGTAGGCAGGCGCGGGTATGATCCAGTTGTCAAAACATCGATAGCGTATGGGATGGCAAAACTAGGTAGACGAGCGTGAACCAAAGCATCTCTAGCTAGCGATGCCAGACGATCAGCAGTGTCCACAAACAGAATGGCTTGCTGATCTAAGAAACTTGATATCATCTGTAGAGGACAAGGCAGGGCAGGGGGTGGGAGGGTGTAAGAAAAAAGAGAAAAAAAAATATATATATATATGTCCCAAAACCGCAGGAATCAAAGCCCCTTTACGTTCAGTTCATTTAGTGCACGACTGAGATGATTTTATCTGTCACTTCCAATTCAAGTAATCCCATCTATAAAACAAAGGAAGAAGTGAATATTCTGACCATTTCTTACATTCATATGCAAGGACACACTTTAAATCTTCGTGCCATTTCTGATGCTGTGGAGGATCTGTAAAGCCTCACAGCTCTTTATTTGTTGATTGCTACTGGAATGCAACCATACTTGTTTGTAATCACTCGGGGCTTTTTTTTTTTTTTTTTCTCTCCAATATTCTGGACTTTCTTCTTATTTAACCAAGGGCAGGATGAAAGTGATAATAAGAGCTAACACACCGAGATCACCATCTTCCCTGTCCTATCACCTAACCCCAAAGCACTCCTGAAACTATGTGCAGACAAGTCTTTAATTTTTTGCCACCAATGAGTTTTTGGGAACATGAACTGTTAAAAGACAAGATTATACAATTTCCAAACAGGAAGAATTAGTTATAATTTAATATTCGATTGCCTATGAAATAGGCTTTTTTTTTTAACTTCTATAGTAAGGAGAAGTTTAGTTAGATACCAAAATCCCATATCATTTAGAGATTATTTCATATCAAACTCTGTTGCTAACTTACCGCACATTTTTCCACTTTTCCAGCATTATTAGCCCATTTGACTAAGGCTAACAAACGAACAAACAGTTGACGAGTGCGACTTGCAAACTGCACTATTTCTATTTTTCTGGAAAAAAAACAAACGTACATTAAGCCAGTGCTCAGATATATAATTAAGCTGCAATTTAACTCTGTGTCAATAAAAAAAGCTGTAAAGATAACTCCTAATTGTGTTAATGGAAGCATCACTAATGTATGGCTTGTTTGATTAGAACATGGGAAAAAACAATAGCTTACTGTTCTGAACACTTAAATGCTAACAAGTACATGGATTCTAACTAACCAAGACTGTCTGGGAAAACAAAAAAGCATGCTCACATGAATTAATCACTGATTTTAAAAGAAACAATTCCGTAGTGAACTCAATTGAATTATCTCTATATCTTTTAAAGGATTTCCCCAGGGCTTATGATTAAGTTTAAAGTAGACAAGGCAATGTACCTAAGGGTTACGGGACCCGGCAGTAACATTACACTGACACTAAAAATAAATAAACAAATAAATAAATAGACACTAAACAAAATATCTCTCTAGTAATTTTAAGACATCTTTACACAGTATCTTACCATATGCTACCATTTTGCCAGAAAAAGGGGTGGTGGTGGGGAAGATCACAAAAAAAAACCCCACCCTTTTACTTTCCTCTCCATTCCTGCCTTGCAAAGAAGTTGGGATAAGGAGAAATTACTGATAGCTAATATCCCTCCCACTGTGATTTGTATGAGACAGTCAAAATGAGGCAGTGTATGTTTGCATTTCTTAAGAGTTATTTTTTGTAAAAGAGAACGTAATAGAGGCACATCCAGATTCTCCCCCTTCATTACAAATCTACATTGTAGATGCATTAGACAAGACACGCAGATCTACAATGCCACACACTCTGAAATACCATTTCATCTCCTGTTTATAGACGTTTTCCTACCTTTCTACACATTCAATTCACTAATTTCACCATGGTTTTCTAGTTACTTTGGAAAAAAAAAAAACAAACAACAACAAATCCAAGATGCTTTCTGGATATGGTTTTCTAAAGTAACAAAAGCATTTGGACAAAAAGAACATTGATGGGAGCAACAGATATTCACCTCTACCAAACAGAAGCTGCACCTCCTGATCCTAATTTGTAAACCACATAATATAGACTGAGCCTGTTTCTGCTGAAAGTGTTGGTGTAATGAGGTTGGCTCTTTAGTGCAATACACAAAGCATAATCTGCTTGTAGTAGATGAACACTTAGGCCAGCAGCATGACTAATACCATCTGGTCCAGTTTCTCGCATTACACACTACAAACCTCATCCAAGAACTTGGGCATTAAGCCAGTAACTTCTCTGCGTTCTGCAGCATGTTTTAGAATGTTATTCAGCCTGTTACTAAGACTGCAAGTGGTGGACAAGCCGCCCTATGTAGACACTACTCAAACAATAACTACACTATGAAAACAAGATGCTGAGAATTTTGAAAGATTCGGAAAAACTTTATGGATTTCAAAGATGTCTACAGTGAGACTTTAGAAAGCCAGTAATCTCTCAGACAAATTCCATATAAAAGTTGCTAAAATCTAGCAGCTATGTCAATCAAACTTCTGTGGTCAAAACAGCATGATAGCAAGAAAAATTCAAACTGATGTTCTGTGATCGAAATCAAAGGTAGACAAATCTCTCCCTCAGATCCCCAAAAAACATTAAAAAAGCACAACAATTTATTAATGAAAATTATTGATGAAACTAGACGCAGTATTCAAGTAACTGTTCTATTAAGACCACATGTATGAAGTTACAGAAGACCTGTTACTTCTACTTGACAGAATCCTGCTTCCAGAACCACCACCGTCATCCCTGAATGACAACTGCGTTGGGAATTCCCATCCACTTCTCTACCAAGAACTCAAAGTCTTTCAATTTTGCTGTGTTCCTTTGTCCTTCATTATAGATATAGGATCTTACGCAAGGCTGCATAAAAAACTTTATCCAAGGAAGGTGAAACTTAAGGAAAGAGTACGTTTACAAGGCCTGTAAAAGTAAAACAAAGCACATTAAAAAGCTTTCTAATGACCATGGTACTCAGCGTTCTTTACCTTGGTCTTTACTGGTAAGTTCTGATCTCGGGGGTTTCAGTTCCTTCAGACTAGTGACTGAGTCTGAGGGAGTGAAGCACTAGCTACAGTAGAAGAATATCAAGTTAAGGACCACTTAAGCAAGCTTGACATACAAAAGTCCACTGGAGTGGATGGGATGCATTCAAGGGAGCTGACCTATGCCACTGTAAAGTTGCTCTCTGTCATTTTCAAAAGGCCGTAGTGATCAAAGGTCTTGATGACTGGAAAAAGGCAAACATCATACCCTTCTTCAAGGTCAAGAAGGATCTAGGGAATAGGCCTGTTGGCCTAAGCTCAGTTAAGAAGAAAATTCATAGAACAAATCTTTCAGGGGGTATGTCCAGGTAAATAATGAACATGAAAGTCACCTGGGAACAGCCAGCACAGATTTGCCAAGGGCAAACCACCGCTGATCACACAATTGCATTCTACAGGATGAACAGCTCTGTGATCAAAGAGAGAACAGAAGATGCATTTACATTGACTTTTGCACAGCTTTCGACAAAATCTCCCACAGTATCCTTGTAGCCAAGCTGGTGAGATACGGCATAGTAAGTGGACTACAAGGTACTTGAAAAACCAGCTGCCCTGCCAGGAATAAAAGGCTGTGACTGGCTACTAGTTGAATTTCTTTAACGCTGGTTACTGGTGGTGTTCCTTAAAGGTCAATACTGGGGCCAATACAATTTAACACCTCCATCAACAACCTGCACGATATGAAGGAATGCTCTCTTTGGAAGTTTGCAGGTGATGCCAAACTAGTGGGAGCAAACAGAGAGACCTCAGCTAGCTGGAAAAACCAGTTGACAAGAACCTCATGAAGTTCAGCAAAACCACATGCAAAGTCCTGCATGTGGCACCAAACAATCTTGCGCAGTAGCACAGGCTGGGTACTAAGCAGCAGCTGGGCAGCAGCTCTGCAGAAGTGGACCTGGAGGTCCTGGTGGAGACGTGAACAGGCATCAGCAATGTGCCTTTGCAACAATGACAGGCTGCATTAGCACTGGTCAAGGAAGGGGATTATTCACCTTGAGTCAGCATTTGTGAGACTGCATCTGAAGCACTATGTCCAGTTCCACACTCCCTAGCCAAGAAAGATACTGCTGAACAGAAGTGGGTTAGGGGCTGGAACACACGACATACGAGGATGGGCTGAGGAAGCTGTGTTTGCTTATGCTTAATAAGAGAAGGCTATGGTGAGATCCTACTGCCGTCTTCAAATATCTAAAGGGGTGTTATGGAGAAGATGGAACCAGACTCTTCTCAAAAGTGTAAAAGGCTGAGGGATAGCAGCTAGAAACTGAAACAGTAAAGAACTAGTAACACATTAGGAAAACAAACAAAGAAACACACAGAGAAGCAGTCAAAGGCTGAAGTAGGTTGCCCAAAAAGGTTGCAGGGTTCCCATCCTCGAAGATACTTAAAACTCAAGTGGATACAATCGTGAGCAACCTGAACCAACTTTGAAACCCTTTCACTTCAAGCAGAGGGTTGGACTAGGTATCTCCAAAGTACCACTCCAACCAAAATTATCATCCATGTCTACTAAAGGAGTGAAATAACAGTCATTTTGTCATTAGAAAAGAATGGAACTCAATGTTTAAAAAAAATTAGGTGTCTGATTGCACTGTTGGTAAGTCATGAATAACATGTTTTTACAAGAGTTCTGATTTTTTTTTAATCTTGTGTAGATAACAGTGTTTGCTGCAACTTTGAGAAGTAACAGTCTTGTTCACTAAATACTACAAAACCAGTAGGAAAACTGCCTGTTTTTAGGAAAACAGTACGCTTATGTAGCTCTTGGAAGTATTTTAACAGTATTTATCTTTTAAATGCTTCTCAAAAAAAAACAGGAACTGTTCATTCAGGAATGCAGGTGTAAGGTTTTACCTTCCATTTCCCCGCAACAGAAGACAGAGCCTTGCAAAGTCATTGTAATCCAAGTTCCAGTTAAATCTTATACAGCCATTACTGTATTTAGATAAAAGTTTCCCACATATTACACTTGACTGGAGGATAAAAAGGAAAAGATGAAGAACATTGAGGAAAAAAAAAGGTCTCCTCTATCAAGAAGCAAGCACCTGGATTTCCCCCAGAACTCAGCACTATTCATTTCACACCACAGTACTAATGTTTTTTTAATCCAATCCCTTCTTTCTTGTTGCAAAAGCGATACATTCCTGTCACTGATAACTAATAAATGACGCTTCACCAAGAAAAGTTCTATTACACTACGATGCATAATTTCCTATCAGTTTTTCTTACCATGAGATCTTTTAGTTAGGCACTATAGTAATGAACATAGATTTTATGTGAACTTAGATTTTATGTGAAGGGATAATATCCTCGCATCTTCACCGAAGTATGTATGTCATGTCACCAGGCTAGCTTCAAGAAACAGAGCTCAAAGCCCAACTATTGCTGCCATTGTAGCTCTCAAAAGTTAGGAGAAGACGAATAATCTGGATAATTAAACCACCTTCCTTACAGATTTCCTCCAAGAGCTGGAAAGTCACCTCATCAAGAAGAGTTGTACGTCAAAATTAACAAGGATGTGAACGTTGAATTTCAAGACAATTTCAATTGCAGGACATTCTTTGTAACCATTGAAAGATGTCTTGTTTTCTTTTATGTGTAATTCATTAGGACTTAAGATGTTCCTCCAGACCTGTGTGCCTCACAAAGGAGATTCCAGGTTTACCAAGAAATGCTAAACATCTAGATGGGAGAAGTCCCCCCACCCGTACAAGGGAGCTCTGGACCTAAGTTGAACATAATTTCCTCAGCAAATAAAAGTGATAATTAAAAAAAAATCAAAACAAAACAAAACACCAACATAACCCAGGCTGTTTATCTTCATAAAATATTATACATACAGAAAAGAGGCACAAGCAATCATCCAAGGTTATGATTCCCTAAAAATTGGATTAATTCCACAACGTGTTATGAGAGTTTTGGAAGACTTGAGATAACTGAATTAGTAATCATCCTGGTATACAGAATTTTTTATTAACATTCTTAGGAATATCATAGCTGCTATATGTCTGCAAAGAAAATGAGGTCAATTAGCATGTCAACATAAGTAACAAAGGAAACAATTTTTGACAACTTCCATAAAATTTATTCAAAGAAACAAAAAAGCAAATGAAGTTCTTTCATCTTGGGGGGTGAGGAAAAAAAAAAAGACCTGCTCTGGTCTCTTATATTTGTTTTCTAATAATTTTTGCACTTCGAAAACACATAGAACAGAAGTAGAAAACAATGCTCACGATAAGAAAGATCCAGTAACATGGGAAAAGCAGAAAAAGGTTTTAACCTTGTTTTAATTGTTGAACTGCTTCTTCTGAACAAAAAGTTTCTTTATCACACTAACTAGAATTTATTTGGGTTCCCCAGTTCCCTCCCACATCAGCTTTACTGTCACTTCATTGCTTCAAGATTCATGAACAGAAAAACACCCTTAACAGAGCTCATCTACTAGAACAGCAACAGTATATTACTGAACAGTGCAACAACAACAACAAAAAAGGCAAAATCACAACAAAACAAAAAAAAGACAAAAACTAATATTGTCATTGATGCTGAGAAAAATCTTGAAACTATGTAGTGACAGCAAGACAGACAGGCTTATTTTCTTGCATAAAATCTAAAATTAGGAGAAAAACATTTTATTTAAACAGTTCTATATTAATCTTAACATTCTAAACAAAGTTCTGTATTTTAACATGCATTACAGACTGTCTTACTGTAACTCACCTTTCCATATCAGTCTTTCTTGGTAACCTATATTAAAAAGGAAAAGAAAAGAGTGTATTATACATTGTTCTATGACATTTCAAACTACTAGAAATTTTGCTACTATCCTTCAACTGAGTACAAGAAGAACTTCTACAGACCTATAAAGAGCTTTTCAAAATTTCTACAGTTGCAAATGTTTCCTAAATATAATGAAATTACACATTTGATAAAGGAATTTGCTTGACAGCTCTAGAAAGCAGCCTAGTTAAGGGGAAATAAAATCAGGTGTATAATAGCACCACAGGGAACCTGCCAATACCCTGTACCAAGTAAGCTGGAACTGGTCAAATTAATTTAAAAGGCTGATGAAGGGTGTTGAAATCCCAAGGCTTCTGCTAATCTAGTGAGCCATGTAGTATCACTGCCTGTGCTGTGCAATTGATGACTCTCAATAAGCAACTCTCACTACAGTTAATTAACTCATAGTAGCAATCCTAGAACATCTGCAGCAGATGTTAAAATTGGCTGTTTCCTGACTTGCTTGAAATGAGTTTCTCTTACCTTTCTGATCAACCCAGAAGTGGAGGAATGCCATACTCCAGAACTTTATCAACGACCTGTGTGACAGATACTACTGCAGAGAGGGGATTGTATTTCTGTAATGTTGTACAGGTACCACAGGCATCTCATTTTAAAAGCTGGGAGTTTTTTTTATTTATTCTAGGACTAGGCTGGTGCTAATAAAAGAATGAGAAATCATTTTGCTGGAGGGAAGGAGGAGAATACTTTGCAGCTGGGCTTTCTACTAGCCAAATCCATACTTTATGGGGAAATACAGTGGAAAAACCCCAAACATCTCTCACTGCTTTTGGAGAGGGCATCACATAGTTTATAAACTACCTAGTGAATCAAAGTGCCCAAAGCATTCTTCATGTGTTGTTCACACCACTCATTTTATTTTGTACCTTAATGATGTACTTAAGTCAAAAGGACCTGTTCTACACCTTAAAACAAGAATAAAAGACATCACAGGCACATGCTTCTACAAGAACGAATACAGTATCAATTACTGTCTACACATATCATAAACATAGAGCAAAGACTTCCTGACTTGGCGTTTTGGAAGTTCTTCCAAAGCAAGCCAAAATTCTAAAATTCCTCATCCTTTCCAGAGTTTGAACACTCTTAACCCCAAGTCAAGCAAAACTCTGCTTGCATACTTAGTAGATATGGTATTTTACAAGAATTATACCTATTTTTTTCTATTTGTTTTGCATGTCACTTCTTAAAACACACAGGCTCCCCACAAGAACCTCTACGGTTAAAAAAGCTAAAAGAGAAACAGGTTTATTCAGAGTCCAAATGCTTTCATTAAAGTTTTTCTTGGCCCAAAAACATTTATTTGTTTTGCCACTTCAAACGCAACATCAGCACAACATACTGGAAAGTAAATGTAAATAACTTACTTTCTTTCCCCAAAATAATCAAACGGTATTTTAAGAAGTACAGAGGTAACTCAAGGAGTTGCAGCATCTTAAAACACCTCAGTGTCACGTGTTTTGGTTTCGTGTACTTTGTTATCGGTACAACCACTACGGTTGGGGTTTTTGACAGTAACTTGGGGGCAAACTGTAGCATCTGCACTCCGCTGCTCTGCACTCCTCACAATAATTTTCCCTCTTTGTGACAGATCTCCCGACAGCTCTCACCAGGCCCCTGATGAACACACCCCGGTGCAGAGACAAACCTGCACGAACAGGGCATTTCCCCGGCGTAGGGGAGAAGGGGAAAGAGCAACCGCCTCCCCCGTCTACAGCCGCGGCCGGGGTCCGGGACAGACCCCTGGCGAGGGAGGCCTC